CCGCTACACCATGCGCAAGGCGCGGTTTCAATCGGTTTCGCTTCGAACACTTAAACCGACTGAACCGACTCAACCGCATACAGCAAGTCACAGCAAGGTGTGTAGCGGAAATGAGTCCCAGTTCGCGAGGCCCTCATTCTGGGCTCGAAGTTTGCGGCTTCGGCGGGGAAGGATGAGGCGAGGGCGGCCAAGTACTCGACGGCGGCCAAGGAGATCGAGCAGCAGCTGGGTGATCACGTGGATGCCAGCGGCTACGTCTTCGAGTCCACTGATCGGCGCAAGGACACGGCCGTGATCGAGGCCTTCAACGTGGGGGACTTGGAGGATGGGCTGTTCGGACCGTTGAGCACTCCGGTGGTGAGGACGCTGGCCACCTTGAGCGACTTGTTCTGCAAGAGCTACGCGGTGAACCAGCAGGCGGCGGCGGCCAAAACGCCCGGCGTGCTCTTCGGGCGCTACGAGGGCGACCTTCTGACAAGGGGCAACACAAATTGTTGCTCACCGCTTCTGCAATGCTGTTGCTCTACAACAGCGCAGGCTTTGGCCAAGGCGAGTCCCAATGGACGCGGATGCCAAGCAGGTGCTGCACCAGCTGACCAGGCCGAGGATGTTACTCAGCAGAATCTGCTGGGCGCAGGAGACGCGCTCCTTCTGCTCATGAAGAAGTACTTGACCAATGGCATGCACATGAACGAGCAGATCGACCGCAATGACGGCAGCCTCAAGTCTGCCAAGGACTTGACTTGGAACTATGCCAACGTCTTGAAGGCTATCGCTGCGCGGAAGGCGGCCGCTGCGACGGAGACTTTGGTGATTTGAGGTCTGGACGTCTTGACGTCTGTGCGCATGGAGCTCCGAAGCAGCTCTCCTGGCTTAAATTCAGCGGTTTTGCCTTGATTTTGCCTCGAATTAGCTGAGGGATGCGCCTTTGCCATCCCTTGCCCCCGTTTTGCTTGCGGCATCCAGCGGCTGTTAGTTGAACAGCGCGGAGATGCATGGAGTCTTGGGAGTTGAGGCTTGGCCTGCATCTTTTCCACGGCCAAGTCTACACTCGAAGCTTGGCTTGCCTTAGTGCAGGTCTGAGCCGACAAAAAGAGCTGGCTGCTTCGTCAGAGTCTGCATCATGACGTATCACGTGACATGTTGAGCTCGTTTCTATTTCGATTATCTTTTCAGTCTTTCAGTTGGCCACCTGGTATACTTGTGCACAAGGCATGCAATGTTCGCTCTGATTCGGTCTGGCTCAAGCCTTGTAGCTTACAGTGCACGAAGCCAGCGAGCTGCTATCCTTGCCCCATCGCCGATTCGGCGCCATGTTCCGTGCAGCAGTCGTAGGTTTGCTGATCCCGGCCGCGGCTGTGGAGTGTGAGCAGGTGCAGCTGGGCGACCGGGTGGACTGCACACGCATGGACGAGGACTCCTGCCGTGCCGCCGGCTGCTGCTGGGACCCGGTGTCCCCCAACCCGGGCAACGCGCCGTGGTGTTTCTTCAGCAACCGCACCTTGCAGTCCTGCACCTTGGGTGGCGACGCCAAGGCGAGATATCCGATGCGCGCCTTTGTTTGGGATATCAGATTCTCACAACGTTGCCTGGACTCCTTGATAAAGCCCCGAATTTGCAGGTTTCGTGTGGTCTCATAGGAGCGGCAGTTTTGTGCCGGGAGAGGGACATTATTCTTGAACATGCGCACCGAAGGGAAGGTTTGCCGAAGGTTCGCGGAATCACCGCGGAAGGGTTGCCCCGTGTCTGCAGGCACGTGCCCACGTAGCACCGGTAGCCGGATGGAACCCAAGGCTACACACGCTTCACTAACAGGGCGGAACATCACATTCCTTACTTAATCTTACTTAAGCTGACTTTCCTTTCTTCGCCAGCACTTTCAGAAGCACATTTGGCACAACGTGCGCCCCGGAAGGTTTGCGGAAGCAAATGAGGGGAAACACATGTGCCGCGAAAATCCTCGGAAGGGACCTCTCCCGCGGCAAGGAAGCGGAATCCGAAGCTTGAAGAATGAAGTTTAAGGGGCATAAAGTTTAGTATAAAGTCGGTACAAAGACCAATGTCGAGTGGAGTAGGAGCCCTTCTCCGACGAGGAGGCGGCTGAGGTGCTGAGGCTCTTCGAGGCCAACCTGGACGCAGAGGGCAGTGGCGAGGTCATGGCGTCCCCAGACCACGCCACGGGGCCCGGGGGCGACTACTACTACGCCTGGGCACGGGATGGGGCTTTGAGCATGCACGCCTACCTGCAGACCAAGGGTGCGGGCGCGGAGGAGAAGATGGGGAAGTGGCTGAGCTGGGTGGAGCGCTCCATGAATCAGCCGGACCCCAACGATGTGGACATCCTGGTGGAGCCCAAGTACTTGATCCCCCAAGGCACGCCCTACACGGGTGGCTGGTGCCGGCCCCAGAACGACGGCCCTGGGCTCCGCGCCGTCACTGCCATGGCCTTTGCGGCCCAGAAGCCGGAGGCAGCTCCAGCACGCAGAGAACCATTGCTCGGAATGGGGACTATATATATAATACTACGCATACATACATACATACATACATACATACATACATGCATACATACATACATGCACACATGTATATAAATATGTATGTAGATCACGAGAAGCTGTGAGCCTTTCTTTTTTAGCAAAACTTCTGAACCCGGAGGTGGCCGGGAAGGTCTGGGAGCTGGTGCGGCGGAATCTGGACTGGGTGGCGGCCAACCACAGCTCTGAGACCTGCGACTTGTGGGAGGAGGTGCGCTCCAGCGACTTCTTCTGGAACCGCTACACCATGCGCAAGGCGCGGTTTCAAGCGGTTTCGCGTCGAACACTTAAACCGACTGAACCGACTCAACCGCATACAGCAAGTCACAGCAAGGTGTGTAGCGGAAATGAGTCCCAGTTCGCGAGGCCCTCATTCTGGGCTCCAAGTTTGCGGCTTCGGCGGGGAAGGATGAGGCGAGGGCGGCCAAGTACTCGACGGCGGCCAAGGAGATCGAGCAGCAGCTGGGTGATCACGTGGATGCCAGCGGCTACGTCTTCGAGTCCACTGATCGGCGCAAGGACACGGCCGTGATCGAGGCCTTCAACGTGGGGGACTTGGAGGATGGGCTGTTCGGGCCGTTGAGCACTCCGGTGGTGAGGACGCTGGCCACCTTGAGCGACTTGTTCTGCAAGAGCTACGCGGTGAACCAGCAGGCGGCGGCGGCCAAAACGCCCGGCGTGCTCTTCGGGCGCTACGAGGGCGACAGCTACGACGGGGGCAACCCCTGGGTGTTGCTCACCGCTTCTGCAGCCACGCTGCTCTACCGGCAGGCGCAGGCTTTGGCCAAAGGCGGCTCCATGGACGCGGATGCCAATCAGGTGCTGCACCAGCTGTTGGGCCGGGATGTTACTCAGCAGAATCTGCTGGGCGCAGGAGACGCGCTCCTTCTGCTCATGAAGAAGTACTTGACCAATGGCATGCACATGAACGAGCAGATCGACCGCAATGACGGCAGCCTCAAGTCTGCCAAGGACTTGACTTGGAACTATGCCAACGTCTTGAAGGCTATCGCTGCGCGGAAGGCGGCCGCTGCGACGGAGACTTTGGTGATTTGAGGTCTGGACGTCTTGACGTCTGTGCGCATGGAGCTCCGAAGCAGCTCTCCTGGCTTAAATTCAGCGGTTTTGCCTTGATTTTGCCTCGAATTAGCTGAGGGATGCGCCTTTGCCATCCCTTGCCCCCGTTTTGCTTGCGGCATCCAGCGGCTGTTAGTTGAACAGCGCGGAGATGCATGGAGTCTTGGGAGTTGAGGCTTGGCCTGCATCTTTTCCACGGCCAAGTCTACACTCGAAGCCTGGCTTGCCTTAGTGCAGGTCTGAGCCGACAAAAAGAGCTGGCTGCTTCGTCAGAGTCTACAAGCCCACATGCAGCATGATGCATCACGTATAGAACCGACCCACAGCATGCAGCTTGCCATGTTGGACGTGTCTTATGTCTATTGATTGGTATCCTGTAGGATCATGTTATTGAACCATCTTGACGCAGAGGCAGACTCGGTTGAAAGCACAGCTTTGTCCATCTCAGATCCTTAACTCCATTGACTCAAGGCAAACCGTTTGGGTGCCCTCAGTTGAGCATCTATAGTCAACGTGCTCGCAGTTGTTAGCAATTACTTGAGTTGTTAGGCAGGCAATGTTGGAGAAAGGAGTTCAGGCGCAACCAACACAGCACGGTAACCACCCCACCCCTAGGATTGCTGTGTTGAGCTCGTTTCTATTTCGATTATCTTTTCAGTCTTTCAGCTGGCCACCTGGTATACTTGTGCACAAGGCATGCAATGTTCGCTCTGATTCGGTCTGGCTCAAGCCTTGTAGCTTACAGTGCACGAAGCCAGCAAGCTGCTATCCTTGCCCCATAGCCGATTCGGCGCCATGTTCCGTGCAGCAGTCGCAGGTTTGCTGATCCCGGCCGCGGCTGTGGAGTGTGAGCAGGTGCAGCTGGGCGACCGGGTGGACTGCACACGCATGGACGAGGACTCCTGCCGTGCCGCCGGCTGCTGCTGGGGCCCGGTGTCCCCCAACCCGGGCAACGCGCCGTGGTGTTTCTTCAGCAACCGCACCTTGCAGTCCTGCACCTTGGGTGGCGACGCCAAGGCGAGATATCCGATGCGCGCCTTTGTTTGGGATATCAGATTCTCACAACGTTGCCTGGACTCCTTGATAAAGCCCCGAATTTGCAGGTTTCGTGTGGTCTCATAGGAGCGGCGGTTTTGTGCCGGGAGAGGCCGAAGGTTCGCGGAATCACCGCGGAAGGGTTGCCCCGTGTCTGCAGGCACGTGCCCACGTAGCACCGGTAGCCGGATGGAACCCAAGGCTACACACGCTTCACTAACACAGGCGGAACATCACATTCCTTACTTAATGTTACTTAAGCTGACTTTCCTTTCTTCGCCAGCACTTTCAGAAGCACATTTGGCACAACGTGCGCCCCGGAAGGTTTGCGGAAGCAAATGAGGGGAAACACATGTGCCGCGAAAATCCTCGGAAGGGACCTCTCCCGCGGCAAGGGAAGCGGAATCCGAAGCGAAGAATGAAGTTAAGGGGCATAAAGTTTGAGTATAAAGTCGGTACAAAGACCAATGTCGAGTGGAGAGGAGCCCTTCTCCGAGCGAGGAGGCGGCTGAGTGAAGAAGGGCTCTTCGGGGGCCAACCTGGACGCAGAGGGCAGTGGCGAGGTCTCGCGCGTCCCAGACCACGCACGGGGCGAGGCGACTACTACTACGCCTGGGCACGGGATGGGGCTTTGAGCATGCACGCCTGCAGACCAAGGGTGCGGGCGCGGAGAAAGGATGGGGAAGTGGCTGAGCTGGGTGGGCTGCGGTCAGCGGACCCCAACGATGTGGACATCCTGGTGGAGCCCAAGTGCTTGATCCCCCAGGCACGCCCTACCAGGTGGCTGGTGCCGGCCCCGAGCAGCTGACCCTGGGCTCCGCGCCGTCACTGCCATGGCCTTGGCCCGAGGCGAAGCAGCTCCAGCACACTTGAAAGAGAACCATTGCTCGGGTCAGGGACATATATAATACTACGCATACATACATACATACATACGTGCATACATACATACATGCACACATGTATATAAATATATATGTGAATCCACCTACAGAAAGCTGCAGAGCCTTTCTTTTTAGCAAAACTGAACCGGAGGTGGCCGGGAAGGTCTGAGGAGCTGGTAGAGCGGAATCTGGACTTCAGGTGGCGGCCAACCACAGCTCTGAGACCTGCGACTTGTGGGAGGAGGTGCGCTCCAGCGACTTCTTCTGGAACCGCTACACCATGCGCAAGGCGCGGTTTCAAGCGGTTTCGCGTCGAACACTTAAACCGACTGAACCGACTCAACCGCATACAGCAAGTCACAGCAAGGTGTGTAGCGGAAATGAGTCCCAGTTCGCGAGGCCCTCAGTCTGGGCCAGGACTGCGGCCGGCGGGGAAAGATGAGCGAGGGCGGCCAGAGTACTCGACGGGCGACCAGGAGATCGACAGCTGGAGTAGTCACGTCGATGCCAGCGCTCGTCTTCGAGTCCACTGATCGGCGCAAGGACACGGCCGTGATCGGAGCCTTCAGTGGGGGACTTGGAGATGGGCTTGATGGGCCATTCAGGCACTCCGGTGGTGAGGACCTTTGTGAGCGACACGGCTGCAAGAGCCTACGCGGTGAACCAGCAGGCGGCGGCTTCGCGCCCGGCGTGCTCTTCGGGCGCTACGAGGGCGACAGCTACGACGGGGGCAACCCCTGGGTGTTGCTCACCGCTTCTGCAGCCACGCTGCTCTACCGGCAGGCGCAGGCTTTGGCCAAGGGCGGCTCCATGGACGCGGATGCCAAGCAGGTGCTGCACCAGCTGTTGGGCCGGGAGGTTACTCAGCAGAATCTGCTGGGCGCAGGAGACGCGCTCCTTCTGCTCATGAAGAAGTACTTGACCAATGGCATGCACATGAACGAGCAGATCGACCGCAATGACGGCAGCCTCAAGTCTGCCAAGGACTTGACTTGGAACTATGCCAACGTCTTGAAGGCTATCGCTGCGCGGAAGGCGGCCGCTGCGACGGAGACTTTGGTGATTTGAGGTCTGGACGTCTTGACGTCTGTGCGCATGGAGCTCCGAAGCAGCTCTCCTGGCTTAAATTCAGCGGTTTTGCCTTGATTTTGCCTCGAATGAGCTGAGGGATGCGCCTTTGCCATCCCTTGCCCCCGTTTTGCTTGCGGCATCCAGCGGCTGTTAGTTGAACAGCGCGGAGATGCATGGAGTCTTGGGAGTTGAGGCTTGGCCTGCATCTTTTCCACGGCCAAGTCTACACTCGAAGCCTGGCTTGCCTTAGTGCGGGTCTGAGCCGACAAAAAGAGCTGGCTGCTTCGTCAGAGTCTACAAGCCCACATGCAGCATGATGCATCACGTATAGAACCGACCCACAGCATGCAGCTTGCCATGTTGGACGTGTCTTATGTCTATTGATTGGTATCCTGTAGGATCATGTTATTGAACCATCTTGGCCGCAGAGGCAGACTCGGTTGAAAGCACAGCTTTGTCCATCTCAGATCATGCTTTCCGTGACTCAAAGGCAAACCGTTTGGAAGTGCCCTCAAGTTGAAGCATCTATAGTCAACGTGCTCGCGGTTGATGGCAATTACTTGGGTTATTTGGGCAGGCCAATGTTGGAGAAAGGAGTTGAAGCGCAACCAACACAGCACAGTAACCACCCCACCCCCTAGGATTACTTGTTGAGCTCGTTTCTATTTCGATTATCTTTTCAGTCTTTCAGCTGGCCACCTGGTATACTTGTGCACAAGGCATGCAATGTTCGCTCTGATTCGGTCTGGCTCAAGCCTTGTAGCTTACAGTGCACGAAGCCAACAAGCTGCTATCCTTGCCCCATAGCCGATTCGGCGCCATGTTCCGTGCAGCAGTCGCAGGTTTGCTGATCCCGGCCGCGGCTGTGGAGTGTGAGCAGGTGCAGCTGGGCGACCGGGTGGACTGCACACGCATGGACGAGGACTCCTGCCGTGCCGCCGGCTGCTGCTGGGGCCCGGTGTCCCCCAACCCGGGCAACGCGCCGTGGTGTTTCTTCAGCAACCGCACCTTGCAGTCCTGCACCTTGGGTGGCGACGCCAAGGCGAGATATCCGATGCGCGCCTTTGTTTGGGATATCAGATTCTCACAACGTTGCCTGGACTCCTTGATAAAGCCCCGAATTTGCAGGTTTCGTGTGGTCTCATAGGAGCGGCGGTTTTGTGCCGGGAGAGGCCGAAGGTTCGCGGAATCACCGCGGAAGGGTTGCCCCGTGTCTGCAGGCACGTGCCCACGTAGCACCGGTAGCCGGATGGAACCCAAGGCTACACACGCTTCACTAACAGGGCGGAACATCACATTCCTTACTTAATCTTACTTAAGCTGACTTTCCTTTCTTCGCCAGCACTTTCAGAAGCACATTTGGCACAACGTGCGCCCCGGAAGGTTTGCGGAAGCAAATGAGGGGAAACACATGTGCCGCGAAAATCCTCGGAAGGGACCTCTCCCGCGGCAAGGAAGCGGAATCCGAAGCTTGAAGAATGAAGTTTAAGGGGCATAAAGTTTAGTATAAAGTCGGTACAAAGACCAATGTCGAGTGGAGTAGGAGCCCTTCTCCGACGAGGAGGCGGCTGAGGTGCTGAGGCTCTTCGAGGCCAACCTGGACGCAGAGGGCAGTGGCGAGGTCATGGCGTCCCCAGACCACGCCACGGGGCCCGGGGGCGACTACTACTACGCCTGGGCACGGGATGGGGCTTTGAGCATGCACGCCTACCTGCAGACCAAGGGTGCGGGCGCGGAGGAGAAGATGGGGAAGTGGCTGAGCTGGGTGGAGCGCTCCATGAATCAGCCGGACCCCAACGATGTGGACATCCTGGTGGAGCCCAAGTACTTGATCCCCCAAGGCACGCCCTACACGGGTGGCTGGTGCCGGCCCCAGAACGACGGCCCTGGGCTCCGCGCCGTCACTGCCATGGCCTTTGCGGCCCAGAAGCCGGAGGCAGCTCCAGCACGCAGAGAACCATTGCTCGGAATGGGGACTATATATATAATACTACGCATACATACATACATACATACATGCATACATACATACATGCACACATGTATATAAATATGTATGTAGATCACGAGAAGCTGTGAGCCTTTCTTTTTTAGCAAAACTTCTGAACCCGGAGGTGGCCGGGAAGGTCTGGGAGCTGGTGCGGCGGAATCTGGACTGGGTGGCGGCCAACCACAGCTCTGAGACCTGCGACTTGTGGGAGGAGGTGCGCTCCAGCGACTTCTTCTGGAACCGCTACACCATGCGCAAGGCGCGGTTTCAAGCGGTTTCGCGTCGAACACTTAAACCGACTGAACCGACTCAACCGCATACAGCAAGTCACAGCAAGGTGTGTAGCGGAAATGAGTCCCAGTTCGCGAGGCCCTCATTCTGGGCTCCAAGTTTGCGGCTTCGGCGGGGAAAGATGAGGCGAGGGCGGCCAAGTACTCGACGGCGGCCAAGGAGATCGAGCAGCAGCTGGGTGATCACGTGGATGCCAGCGGCTACGTCTTCGAGTCCACTGATCGGCGCAAGGACACGGCCGTGATCGAGGCCTTCAACGTGGGGGACTTGGAGGATGGGCTGTTCGGGCCGTTGAGCACTCCGGTGGTGAGGACGCTGGCCACCTTGAGCGACTTGTTCTGCAAGAGCTACGCGGTGAACCAGCAGGCGGCGGCGGCCAAAACGCCCGGCGTGCTCTTCGGGCGCTACGAGGGCGACAGCTACGACGGGGGCAACCCCTGGGTGTTGCTCACCGCTTCTGCAGCCACGCTGCTCTACCGGCAGGCGCAGGCTTTGGCCAAAGGCGGCTCCATGGACGCGGATGCCAATCAGGTGCTGCACCAGCTGTTGGGCCGGGATGTTACTCAGCAGAATCTGCTGGGCGCAGGAGACGCGCTCCTTCTGCTCATGAAGAAGTACTTGACCAATGGCATGCACATGAACGAGCAGATCGACCGCAATGACGGCAGCCTCAAGTCTGCCAAGGACTTGACTTGGAACTATGCCAACGTCTTGAAGGCTATCGCTGCGCGGAAGGCGGCCGCTGCGACGGAGACTTTGGTGATTTGAGGTCTGGACGTCTTGACGTCTGTGCGCATGGAGCTCCGAAGCAGCTCTCCTGGCTTAAATTCAGCGGTTTTGCCTTGATTTTGCCTCGAATGAGCTGAGGGATGCGCCTTTGCCATCCCTTGCCCCCGTTTTGCTTGCGGCATCCAGCGGCTGTTAGTTGAACAGCGCGGAGATGCATGGAGTCTTGGGAGTTGAGGCTTGGCCTGCATCTTTTCCACGGCCAAGTCTACACTCGAAGC